CTGAAACTACCACGGCCAGAACGTGGCAGATGGAAATCCATTGTGAGGCTGTAGCCTGTCCTGAGCTCTCTGTGTGGCAGCTCTTTGCATGGTGAGCCAGAGCATTTGTGCCAGTCTGTGTGGGAAGTTGTTTTGTATGGAAACATTGGTTAGCTCAGAGTTTTTTCCCACCAGAGCTGTGCCCTAGCTCTGGTGCAGGGCAGTGGGCATGAGCAGGCAGGGACAGGTATAGCCAATGCCTTTCCAGCACAATTGAGAATGCCCCTCAACTTCCAGGCATCCAAGCAAAGGGAGAAAAATTACTACAAAAAAATCTTGTTTTATTCTCCAGATCAAATAGAATTACATGTCCATGGAGGCAAAGGAAGGGCCTAAGGGAGGAGTAACCCTCTCTGAAATTGAGTATTTATTGATTTTTCTTTCCCAGTCATAAACCATGAGTTTCAGCCTCTCACTACTGAAGACATTTGTGAGAGCTGAGTGGAAAATACGGGAGACAAAATCCAAGAGAAGCATTAAACCCGTAAGTGATGGACAGTGAGCTCATCTGCTCCCAGAGTGCTCCACAGGGACACACTGGAAGGGACCAGCAGGCAGCCTCATCAGGGAGAGATTAATTATGCAGAGCTGATAGGTGCTGCAGACCAACAGCCACAACTGAAACAGCAAAACCATAACTCCACTTGGGAGACAGGCTGGGTAGGGCTGGGTAGTTTAAGAGGTCTTTTTCATCTTTGTCTGTGAGTGAGTAAATCAAGTGTTAGAACCGAGCACTGCAGGCTGCCAAGGTGTGAGCTCTTCTGCAAAGGTCTCACATTCTGGGGAGCATGTGCTGCATGGAACTGACCCTTTGCTCTGGAAAGAGGGGCACAAAGAGCTCCCAACAACGTCCTCTTTGAACACGAGGATGTTTGCTGGGAGCTGGTCCTGACTCCTTGCCAGTGCAGATTCCTCTTGCAGGGACTGTGCTCTGCAGCCCCACTCTGCAGGCAGGGAACCTCTGTTAACATACATGGTCTTAGTGGGCTTAGAATCAGCTACTTACAAACCTGACTACATATGAATTTTAACTTCCTCTTTTGGGCTTTTTATAGGAAATGCTATAAAGTTCCGCTTAACTTCTTTTTTCCACAGGAGTATGTTTAAAAACTGTTCTTTAAAAAAGACAAGCTGTGAAAACTTGTCTCAAGTGCTGGCACTCCCGTGGGACTATCATCCTGCAGCTCTGCTAGTTCTCTTGCCCACCACCACTCTTAAGGGTGTGACTTAAGCTGTGGGCCCACAATGAGAGGCAAGAGGAGCACTGTGCACTGAAGCTCCCAGCCCTGAACCAGCTGTGGGAGAGAAGCCATGCCAAACCCTTCTCTGGTGGGATTTGCTGCTTTCCCCTCTCCAAGGGATTTTGCAGGATGAGAGCAATTCCCAATAGTCAAGCCTTTTGCAGTCATTCCTATCAATGAGTCTCAAAGTGTTCTTAGAGTGCCAGAGCCCCTGCAGCAGGTGTGGGGGTCAGCACATGTCCTGTGCCATGTCCTTGCAGCCTGTCCTGGCTGCAAGGCCACCAGGCAGGCAAGGAACCAGCACACAACCACCTTTCTTTCTGCTTTGCCCTGTCATCCCCTTTGCTGCATTCTGTAAAATGAAGATTATCCTCATGGGGGAGTTGTAAGCATTAATATAGCTGGTCAAGAATTTCACGTTTGTTGGTTGTTCTGTGTTTTGTTGTTAAAACCAGAAAAAAATCAAAACCCACAGGGCAAATTACATTTCAGGCCAATTTACCTCACTGAGCTTGCATGTCCTTTAATAAATTATTTAGATCTCAAATACTGGATATGTTGTACAAACAAATGAGAACATGGTCCTGAGGCAGAAGGTAAGTGATGAAGGTCCTTGGCTAATCCTTTTCAGCTTTCATTACGCCCTGTTCACTAGCCAGCTGTTTTTCAGCTCAGAACAGGTTTGCTCTTGGCTTTTGTCTGACAGTGCTGAGGTAGATCAAATGCTCACGTGTAAGAGCAGCCCTCTAAACCTCACACCACTCATTCAGCAGAAGCAGAGACGTCAGATTGTGGAAGGAGCAATCTCTTTCTTGGAAACCCTACTGAAATGGAAACAGAGCTGTTCCTCTTTCTTTTAGATGTGACTCTCGAATTCCCAAAGTCAAAAATTCAGGAGCAAGATGAAAACACTGATAGCTTGTGTTACACAAAGGAATGTTCTGGCAGCCAACCAATGCTGCTGCAAATTCTTTCTTTTGGCATCAAACTGTTTCACTTATGAAGGGCAGATGAAAATTGTTCTAGATTGATGTTGGCTCTTGCCCGATGGTAGTTGTGTTTCTCTGATAAGCCTTCTCTCTAGTGCCCACAAGGCTTTTGAGGACGTGTAAACTTCTAATCATCCTATCACTCCTTCATCAAGAAAATCATAATTTCAGGAGGCCCCAAAATAAACATAATAGTTTAGATGGAATAGCCTGGATGCATAGAACCTTTTCATAGTGTGATTGAGGACCCTAAGCTGAGTGCCAGGAATCAGTACCTATTGAAGTATATACTTCATCTCAGCCATGGGAGTGCAGTCTTCACCCTTAAATTGGTCCACATTCTCTTGTAAATTTGGCACCGTGTGCAGCTCTAGACTAAATATTGGCAGATATTACTGGCTCTGACCAGCTGAAATAAATCCCTCCTCACCACAGCCCAGCCACTCTGGCCCTGCTGCCTCCTTGGGTGTCCCCACTGGCCTCAAGCCACCGCAGGGGTTCTCAGAGTGTCTCTTAGCCTGGTACTGACACCTTCAGCAGACACAGGGACAGTCCTGTAACAGGGAAAGGAGGAGGCAGCCTTGTGACTGGAAAATGGTAAAAAGGAAACTGCCAAGGATGTACAGCTGTGTAAAAGCCACCCTGCTCTGCCTGGGGCTGGGGGCTGGAGAGAGGGACAAGTGCCAAGAGTGTGGACAGGGACTGTGGGGGGCCAAGCAGCTTCTGAACCAGGGTGTGTGAGCTGCTGAGGCCCTGAGAGATAAAACTGCTGCTGCTGACTCGTCTGGCCAGGGCTTGCCACTGCTGGGCTCCCAGTGACCCCAGTGTGCTGCAGCCCCTTACCCTGGGGAAACGAGGTCTACAGCAGATTGCAGGCAAATGCCAGGAAAATGAGGAGAGGACATTTGACTCAGAGATAAGAGCCTCCTGCTGCAAGGTGTGCCAGAACCAAAACCCCTGCTTTGCCTATGCCATGGAACAGGGCAAGTCCTGTGTATTGGCAGTGGCAAACCTGCTCTTGTCCAAAAACCCTGTGACCGTCACTCAGCATTGTAGGATAAGCAAGAGGGTTTTGGAGCCAACATTTTGTGGGTAAAGGCCCATATTGGGGAAAGTTTCAGAATGGAAATTAGTCTGGGAGGCAGTGATGGGACTGGATATGTCAGATGTGAGAGGATGTGCAAAAGATGGTCCTTCAATCCCACCCACACAGGTAACTGTCATGTTAGCAGCTGATGCCACTTCTTCATTAGAAAGTGGAGGACGGAAAACAGAGCCCAGAGAGTTGAAGTGTGTGCAGATGCAGTTTGATGGTACAATGAAGCTCATGTTAAGAGCATGCACCCAGGGAAGAGGTGTTCCCATCTCCTTCCACCCTTCTGTGCCCTCCCTGGTGCTGGGTGCCTGTGTCCAGCCAAGGCTGTGTGCTGGGGCAGTGGGCTGGCAGCACTTCACATTTCCCAGTGTTGGGTGAGATGGTGCCTGCTGCTTTTGCTCCCTCAGACGACTCTTTGGTGTCAGGCATAGAACATGGCTGGCACAAGGCAGCAGGTGAGCTCACCAGGTGGTTCCAGCAGACTCCCCATTGTCCCACACCACCGCCACTCTGCCATGGCACCTGATTTCAAGAGGACTTGAGTGCTTAAAAGTGTGCAAATGTTGATTCACCTGCACTGCTGGCTCAGGCTGCCATCCCTCCGTGCCTCTCCCTGCCCTGTGCTCCAGGCTCAGCAGTGGTTGGCAGCATGGGCAGGTATTTGTAGAAATATATCTGCAGCTCCATGAGGCTGAGAGCACGTTAATGTTTGGGACACTCCATGGTGCCATCTGAGGGCTGTTGACTTGCCCAAGCTTGTGCTGTCACCAAAGGGCAGTTCCTCTGTCTCGCTCCACCCCTCCTTTCCTGCACGTGTCTGTAGTCCCTGTGGAGCCCCCACAAGAACAATCTGCTTGTTTTTCAGCTGGCCATGGCTGCCTGACTGCCTGGGCCCCACCGCAGCCTGGGCAAGGTGCTGAGGCCACGATGAGGGAGAGGGAGCGGGGCCCACCCTGCCCAAGGCCGTGCAGATCTGGGCAGCTATCTGCCATTGTTTCCCCTCAGCCCTGTTCTCACGGCTGCTCGGCTGTGATAGCCAGTGTTTTCTCCTGAAGACCCAGCCCTGCTCTTGGAGCCATCACGAGCTCTCTGACCGGGCACTGCTCCATGTCCAGCCTCGCAGTGCCAGCCCGATGACAAACCTGATCAGGCTGTGTATCCACAGGTTAGCAGGCAGCTCCGCGGGGACAGAGCCAGCCAAGTCACAGCCCCTTGCGAACACCACAGCCAGCCTTGCCTGAGGGAGCACCTTGTTACTCTAGAACTACCTGAAAGAAGGCTGTGGCCAAGTAGGGGTCAGGCTGTTCTCCCAGGTAATGAGCAGCAGGACAAGACAAAATAGCCTCAGGTTGTTTCAGGGGAGGCTTAGTTTGGACATTAGCAAAAATTTCTTCACTGAAAAGGTGGTTAAGCATTGGAACAGGCTACCCAGGGAATCGGTGGAGTCACCAGCCCTGGAATTCTTGAAAACACGTGCAGGTGTGGTGTTTAGGAACACGGTTTAGTGATGGGCTTGGCAGCGCTGGGTTGGGGACTGGGTTCAGTGAGCTGAGGGGTCTGTTCCAGCCCTGCTGAGGCTGTGTGTGCCTGGGTGCTGCATGGCTTTGGCACTAAAGGTGTTTGTGCCCCTTGCAGGCCTGGCGGAAGCGCTGGTTCGTGCTGCGCAGGGGCCGCATGAGCGGGAACCCCGACGTGCTGGAGTACTACAGGAACAACCACTCCAAAAAGCCCATCCGCATCATAGACCTCAATGAGTGTGAAGTGCTGAAGCACTCGGGGCCCAACTTCATCAAGAAGGAATTCCAGAACAACTTCGTCTTCATCGTGAGGACCACCTACCGCACCTTCTACCTGGTAGCCAAGACTGAGGAGGAGATGCAGATCTGGGTGCGCAATATCAGCCAGATCTGTAACTTTGGACATCTGGAAGATGGCACAGGTAGGATCACGCTCATCTTGGAAGCTGGGAGAATGCCCAGGGGTGACAGGAGGCATGGACCTTGCTGTCAGGCTGGGCTGGGCAGGTGGAAGAGGGCTGTGGTTCCTGTAGCTCCATACAGACTGAGATGCTGCTAAACCCTGATCTGAAAGTTCTCAGGGACTGCACTGCTGCTGGGTGGAAATACTCACTGGCTGCCTGGTCTCACTTTGATGAAACAATGCTTGCTGGAGCAAACAGCAGGTCCTTAATAAGAAAAGGTGCTGTTTATGTAAAAAGCTGACTGAGTGTTATCTTCTGGGGCCATTTATTTCATTACATGTCCTGTATTTATTTAGTTAGGCTTAATGTAAGACACCTGTTCCAAGAAAGCATCCTGCACAACTCCCATTTTCTCAGGCTTTGCTGGATGTGGAATGTGCACAGACTTGGGTGTATATGCCTGTACATAAATCAATGACAGAAATACTAAGCTGCCTTAGTCTGTTAATAAGAGAAAACAAAGGCAGAGGATAGGAGTGTTAGAAGTGTGTGTATGGACTTAAGAGATGGTCCTGCCAGTGAAGCATCAAGGCAGCTCTTTTGCCAGGCCCTACACCTGTATATACTCAGTGGAATGAATTTCTTGAAAAGCTGCCAAGAATTAACCACTCCAGAATGGATGTAGCCAGTAATTAAAGTGGGGACCTGTACCATCATTAACTTACCTTTTAAATGAGACAACCAGGCTCAGATAACAGCAATTTGTCTTTCCCTTGACAATTCCAAGGGGCAGATACAGCAGCAATTTGAGAGTTTCAGAGGAAGTGAGTCAGAGTGAAGCCTTCAATGTGATAAAAGGCAGTGCAGGAGTAGAAGTGGGGGCCATGGAGAGACACCAGCCCTGGGGCAGTAATGTGTTTGGGGGTATCATGTGTGGCCAGGCAATTCATCCTTCCGTAGTCTTTGTGCTGCTGCACTCAAGAGTGCTGCTGGTGTCTGCAAGTGCTGCATGGCCACACCATTACCAACAATAAGAATAAGAAGCAAAAGGCTATGGGAAAGGTTTTATTTTAACTTATCATGGTTCCTGGCATTGCTTAGCTGCCTTTTGAGTAGTGTCTTCTGAGGGAAATGGGAGTGGCAAGAACACTGCAGTGGCCCTGTTAAAATTTGATGTCTGTTCTTTTCCCGTTCACTTCAGAAACCACCATGAAAACGTGCTGACAGATTATGTGTCAGCACAAGCTGCCCATGAATACAAATTTCAAAGAAGGTCTGGTAGGGATTGGAGTCTACTGCCCTTTGGAGGTTGGATGGAATTACGGATATTCAGTAACCACCTTCCTACTGTTCTGCCTTTGTTGATGCTGAGTTGTTGCTCTTGGATTGTTGTTTCTGGTGCAGGATTATTTTAGATATCATTTTACCGATGACTCTGAAATTAAGGTAAACCCTTCTATGCAAAAGAGAAAAATAATTTTTGTCTCTCAAATGTGTAGGCAGCCTTCTCCTGGCACTGTGTGAGAATGTTCATGGGGAATGTGATCTGTGGCAGAGGAGCTAAGACAGTGGCAGTCCCAGACAGATGCATTTACACTGGGAAATGCCTTCTCTGTTTTGCTGGTGCAGTGCACTATTGCTTGTAAGACTTGCACATGGACAGTGCTCAGAGCATTACATGTTGGTGTTTCTCTCTGAGCAAAGATTGCCAGTGTGGGCACTGATGGATGAGAAATGACAGCTCTTGCAGCAGCAGTTGGGAAAGCTGACACTCCAGCTGTCCAAGGCAGATATTACCCCCAAGAAGTTCAGCACTGCCAAGCATTTGCCTTGATTCAGTACAGTCTGGCACCTGAACTTGCAGCCCTCATCAAGGATGGTGTGAGCTAAGCCTCCAGACATGCACTTACTGTGTCTCTAATGCCAAATAACTCCTAAGAGCTTCTATTTATCCTGCAGCTCCTGCCAGTGAGCTCAGGTCTGGGGTGTATCCAGGTCAGGCTGCCAAGCACATCCAGATCGTCTGATTTAAATCTGCACAGCTACAAAAATTGCACATCACATTTCAAACAGTTGTTAATTGCTTCAGCTTTTCAGGATCTCCTAAATTCTCCAAGAGCCTGTAGGTTTAAACAAATTACCCTTTAAAATTAACATGAGAAAAGCCCTATTAAATGCCACATGCTTTTTTAACTTGAATGCTACTGCTTTAAAAAACTACTAGTCCCTGCTATGAGTCATATCACTCTTAATCTGTGCATCGCTGAAAATTTGCTGTGACTGAGGCCAAGACACAATCTGCTGCTTTCTCTGCTTAATGCCCAAAGTCTAGCCACAGGTTTATGCAGTGACTCAGCTTTAAGGGCTGTCCTGTTCTTCCCAGTTAGTCCCTTCCAGCAGCAAAGGACAGACAGCCAGCTCCCCATGGCAGAGGTGTTGGCAGCCAGATGCAGAGCGAAGTTACAAAAGCCGTGGCTCCTCTGAGCACAGCTCTGTGTCAACAAGAGAGGGGACAGCTGAGAGGCAGAGATGACATGGCAGCTCCAGGCAGATGTCAGGAAGCACCTGGGAGGGCGGCTGTCAGGAAGGACTTGCCAGCAGCACTCACACACTGCTGCCACCAGAAGATGCTGCTGGCTGTGCTGGAAATGACAGAGGAGTTGGCACCTCTGGGGAGTCAGATGGAGGAGAGAGGAAGAGGCCTTGCTCCTGGTTTTCCTACCCTATCTCAGCAAAATCCTGCTTCTGTCTTTGGTGAAACCTCCCAATAGAGCCATCATTCCCCAGCCCCACAGGATCCACGGCCATGCAGGGGACTGAGAGGATGCTTGGCCTGAGTGTCTGGGGCAGGGGAGGGGATGAAATGAAGTGGCTGTGGGACACCAGGGGCACACAGTTTGTCCCATGTGCAAGCTGAAGCCGTGACTAATTGACACAATCCAATGTAACAGCTTTTCATTGGAGAAACTAGTGGGAAGGTTGTTTAAGCAGTTTCATTAGGAAGCCTTACTGTTATTATTTCTACCTCCTTGGTATGTCAGTGCAGCCTTGGGGGTGGTTGATGTGAGAAGAGCATCCCTGTTCCACTGTGTCCCTGCATGGCTGTTGTACCACATCTATTCTTGGGAGGAGGGCTGAGGTCTGTAGCAGAAAGGAAAAGCCCTCTGTTTCTCCAAGCAATGGCCCTTCATTGGTGGGAGAGGTCACTGTGGAAGATGCTGTGCAGCCTCTGTGGTGGCTTTCTCCATAATTGCAGGGCAGAAATGTTTGGTGTTAGTACCCACCAAGCAGTTATTTTGGCAGCTGAAGACTCATGCTGTCTCTCTGGCAAAGGGGATGGCAGGCACCAAACCTATTCTCTGCGTTCTCATTGTTGAAAGTAGCCATACATAATTTACTCTGCCCAGCTGCTGTCGTGATAGTTTTAATGCACACGATTCGGTTACCAGCAGAGCTGGCAGGGACAGGAACAGTCTGTGAGGAGCTGGCTGCAGGTCCCTGAGCCCCTGTAGGTCAGGAAAGGGCAGGGCTGTGCTGTCCCCACCCTCCCTCCTGCTCACAGCCGTTGCCATGTGGTCTGCAGCTCACAGCCTTTCCTGATGGGATAATCCATGGCTAAACCCTGTGAGTACCAGATGGAGTTCAGGCCTGTTCGTTCTCTGTGTTAATAACTCAGAATGTCATTAATTTATTTCTTATGCATTGTGGCAGTTTTAGTTGTTGGTTTGTTGGGGTTTTTTTAAATGTAGTCAGATGGTGAAGTGAACATGATTTTCTGAGATCCCATGGGAGTTAGCCCAGTGTATGTTTGATCGTTGTCAGCTTGCAAGACAGCTCCGAGTCCTAGATTGAAAAGCAGAGTTACTGTCTGAGCCAACATGATGAACAAAAGTTATTTTTCACATGGGAATGCTGCAGCCCTCAGCTCTGCTTTGCAAATGTGAAACCCTGTAAAAGCCGTTTCTTCCAGATGATCAGTGATGAAACCCTGCTGCTATAAGCACCTGCTCAAAATTAAAGCAAATCCTTTGCTTACACTTGAATTTAGGCATGTTCTTATATGCTTTGCTGAGGCCCACCACTGCCCAGATCTCTGAAGCTAACTGGAGGAAGCAGCAGGGAGTCAATAGTGGTAGACGGAAAGGAAAGAGGCAGCTCCCTCCCAAGTTGAAAGGGATGAGATGTAGGATAGTGCAGGGAGGGAAGATCAGCTCTTTTATTCTTCTGCTATCAGAAAGATGAGGGGTGAAGCCTGATGTGGCTGGTGGGATCCTGGATCACTGGAATCACAGACTATCCTCAGTTGGAAGGGACCTGCAAGCATCACCAAGCCAAACTCCTGGCCCTATACAGGATGGTCCCAAGAGTTGCACCATGTGCCTGAGAGGGTTTAGTTTGTGTTTAGTTATGTTGCTGCCTAACCACTCAAGCCTTGGCAGCCCTCTCCATTCCTCCTGGTCTGCTTGCATGTATACCCAGCACCTCCAGGGTTGAGAAGTGACTGCAGCAGCCTGGTACAGTGCCAAGGCTTGTGCCTCTTTTCAGGTTGGGACAAGGATGGATCTGCTGGAGGGTCTCAGGACCTCATCACACAGTGCAGGATCTGGGGCACAGGACACATGCAGCTGCTCAGGGGCTGGTTCCCAGCATTTCCATCAAGTTCTGGATATCAGCATTAGAGAAATCCGCCATATTGCCTTTGAAGGCGTATTAATTCTCAGTGTGGTTTTATCAGCTGTTGCTGGTTTCTTGTGTTTGTTTCTGCTGTGGGGTTTTCCATTTTGGAGAAGGGTTTGGCAGCTTTGACTCAGGCAGTGTCTGAGCCAGAGTTGGGCATCCACTGCCAAGCCCTGCAGGTGCCAGGGACCCAGTGAGCACTGCCCCATCCCCACACAGCTCTGGTGAAGGAACTGCCATGCAGCAACCTGAAACTTCATTAGAAAAGTCATATTCCGTAACTGAGGACTTGTGCTCTTGGTGCTGCTGTTTGAGCTTGCTGCCAGGAGCAGCTGCTTTTGGGGAGCTGCTCCGTAAAGACACCCTTCCCACTCCACAGCTGCCCTTTTTGGGAGGTCTGGATTGCACTTGATTTTCTGAGTTGGAATGCCCTAAAAGCTTTGTTTGGCTTGACTCTGTGTGGCTCAGCCATCACTCCTTCTTCCCTTCTGCCCAGCTCTCCAGCAGAGACAGAGGCTGGAAGAGGAACAGAACCAGACTTCTCTGCTGCAAGGCAGTGCTCAGGCCACATGGGTCTGAGTGTCTCAGCCAGAGGCTGCCACTGAAGGGTGACCTTGGTGGTGTGAACAGGCAGCCTGCTCTGGGCCAGCCCACTGCCTGCAGCCCAGATCCCCTCCTGTCCCACTGCCATCCCACTCTGTGCTGGGGACACTGGAGCGTTATGCCCAGAGAAGGTGTCACTGAGCTCAGGCTCCCCATGCCTTGTGACCTCCAGAAAAGTAGTGTCACTTCTCTCAGCAGAGCCAAGAAGCCTCCAGCTGGGCAGTTACAGCCACAGCACTGCTCCTGTGGTTTGGTGGCCAGCCGAGAGAGGCATAAAAAGCTTAGAGAAAAATTCAGAGCTTGTGTGGCTACTCCATGAGCTGGAAAGCTCAGCTTGTCTGCTGAGATCTAGAAAGTGGCAAGAAACCAATCCCTTTCCTTGTCACCATTAATTTGAAGTATTGGAGATGAATAATTAATTATTTGCATTAGATACTAAAAAAATACTTGATAAGACAGGGTGTTGTGCCTCAGCTCTTTCTTCAGCAGTGCCTGTTCTTCATTGCTGGCTGCAGGAGGGAGAGGGGGACCCCAGAGCAAGGGGTCTGCACTTCCTGCAGCCGGGAGGATTGTGACAGCCTGGGCAGGGGGAGCAAAATCAGGCTGCCCTCTCCCCAGAACCAGTGTTTGCCTTGACTCACTGCTGCTGTGGCGTAAAACATCCCTGGTGCAAAAGCAGGGTGGTGACAGCCGGGGCAGTCAGAGGGCCAGGGCGAGTCAGAGCTGTCCCTCAGGCATGCCCTCCGTGTCCATTGCAGGTTCTGTGGAGAGCCTGTCTCACACGACCTCGTCCCCACAGCCCTCGCCGGCCGCCTCCACCCACGCCTCCCGCATCGCCGACCCCTCCTTCTCAGTCGAGCACGCTGCTGCTGATGCTGCCGCCGAGGAGACCCCCAGCGAGTCTGGGTCAGTCTTCCTCCCTGACTACCTCTTCCTCTCCAACTGCGAGTCGGGCAAGCTCAGCCACAACAGGTGAGTCTGGGCTCTGCCACATGTGTCAGCCTGGAGCCCAACCCTGTCTGTCCAGGCATGAAACTGGGGCACACAGCCCCAGGGAGCACTGCCACTCAAGGCTGGCTCCCAAACACAACAGGGGACCACCAGCCTAATCCAATTTACAGGATGCTTTTCATAGCACAGATTAGTGGTTGAGCATCATATAGTTGGTCCTGTCCCTTTCCAAGGTGGGTGAGGGAGGCTGAGGATCTGACACACAGCCTCCCTCCAGACACCTGCTGTTGCCCAAGGTGCTCCACAAAGTGCCCCAGCCTCCAATCCAGCTCAGAGGGGAGGGACAGATCTTGTCCCAGTCTGTGTGGTTGGGCTTTTTTGTTTGCTGTGTTCTTCAGCCAGGAGAAAAGGAAAGCTCAGGTTCTGACCTCTGTCTCCTTGCAGGTGTGACAGCTGGTCAAATTCAGACAGATCTCTGGAGCAAACATCATCAGACGATGTTTTTGTTGACTCCTTGCAATCCCAGCCCTCCTTGTACCTTGTACAGCCAACCAGCGCTGGCGCTGTGCACCAGGTCGGAGCCCCAGTGGCAAATCCCAGCATGGTATCCAGGAACACAGACATTAGTGGGCCATCCAGTGACTTTTCCTCCTCTTCCCCACTGCTGGGGACGCCGCTGACACCGACGTTTCAGATTGACAAGGGCCAGAAGGCGCTGCCCTACGGGGTGACGCAGCTGGACGTGCTGTCCAACACGCCGCCGCCGCGGCCGCCCAAGCCAACGCACTTCTCAGACAGGAGGGGAGAGGAGCTGGGCGCCCTGCAGAACGGGCACGCGGGCGTCTGCCGGGCTCAGGTCGCTCTGGTGCCCAGAAGGATCTCCTTGTCCAGCTTGGACAACATGAGGAACTGGAAAGGTGAGTGCACTTCCAAGAGCCAGCAAAGCAGCACCAGTGTGAGGGATGGAGCTGGTCACACGCACAGAGTGGTTTTCACTTCCTTGGGTGCCTCTCTGTCCTCCCCTCTGTGAAGCCTTACACCACCCAATGTAACACCAAGTTCTGCTTTCAAATGAGTTAGCAAGCAGGATTCAGTCCCTTAGGTTTGCTCCTGCTGTGTAGAAGCCTCTGAGTATGTGTACAGATGGGCAGCAATTTGGCTCTGATCCCTTCAGGGCCTCATGCCTTGCTAATTTTCCCCCTTCCTTCTCAGAAGAGAAAGCAGTAGAAAAACCAAAATGAGAAGTCAGCCACTAAATTGGGCAATGCCAAACTCTGTTCATACAGGTCAAAATGTGGGCTTGCATGTGGGAAATGCCTCTGGAGCTGTGCTGCTTTGCTACACCCAGTCTGTTCTGCAAGAGCTGCATGTCTTTTCACAGCTTAGAGTAAAGACCAGGAAGTCAGGGAGACACTGGGGATGGGATGTAATCCTGGTTGAACCAGGGACTCTGCATGTCCTTGAACAAATCCCGCTCTGTCCTTGCACTTCAGTCAGGGCAGTCTGAAAACCTGCTGCTACAGAGCAAGGCAAGGCTACAAAGCAAACTCTACTCTGAGCTGAGCTGGCTTTTCCACTTGCTCCTGAAACACCATCATCACAAACAGGAACAACAGACAAAACCCAGAACACCATGGTGTCAAAAACCAGCATATACAGGATGAGAAGACTTTATTACATGGAGCCACAGAATAGAGGGAGACAGCTGGAATACCTGGTTGAAAATCATCAAGTATATTGCAGTGATGTGAAAACCTTCATTTTTGATGAGGAAAAAAGTTTTTAAGGGCAAGCATCCTTTAGACTCCTGTAGTTTGAATGACCAGATAATGTGTGGGGCTGCTAGATCTTGCTCTTAAAGCTCAGAAGCTAAAGCTAAGCATTGTCGTCAGTGTACAGACAAGGGCTGCTAGATCTTGCTCTTAAAGCTCAGAAGCTAAAGCTAATAAGCATTGTCGTCAGTGTACAGACAGTTCTTGGAAGGTTTCTAGAGAAACGCCCATCAGTGGAATTGCTATTCTTAATTATCAGCTACATTTGGTTGCTCCCTGAGAGGTGCTGCTCTTGCTTCTGCACATGTGCTGCTCCAACGCAGCTGGTTCGTGATCCTCCAACCCAATTTACACCAAAATGTCTCTAGGAGGATTAAGTGGCCAAATGTCACGTTGTGCTGCTGTGCTGCAGGGTTGTCTCTGCCTGATGGGGGCAGCAATGAATTAATAAGTGCTGCCACTTTTTGTTACCCTAAGTGTAGCTGAAACCATTTGGAGGGTTAAACTCTGAATTAAAATGTGTTTAACAAGAAAGATCAGAAAAATAAAGAGGGAGGAAGCAGCAGTTCCTCACCAGCTTCCCCAGTGAGTGTTATTAACTCAAGTTATTAACTTATATTTTTGCCCTGCTAACCTGCAAAAGGTGCACAGATGTAATTAGCCCAGGGCAAAAGCAGCGTGAGCTAGTGGAAGTGCCATAAAGGAGGATGAGCTGTGAGGCACCTGTATCCTGGCACCTGCCACAGCCTCCATGTCTTTTTGCCATAATAAATAAATGTAGCTGTCCCAGGACAGTGACTGTGTCTATCTGAATATGTATCTGCACCAACAGAATTGCTTCGTTCTTGTTTGGCTGGTACCGCCAAAAATGCCCCCAGTTGCAGTACTGACATCTCTACCATAAGAGCAGGGAATGGATTAACATGGTTGCAGGGATTCGAGGCATTCCCACAGAAAAGCCATTTTCTGCACAGAAAATCCCTTTTCAGAAAAGGATGGTGGTTGTAAGCATCTACCACAGCTGATCTTCTATGTGCTGAATGCTGGACTTCAGGGGTTTTTGGCTTTTGCTTGGAAAATAAAACTGACCTATACCAAGACCAAGGCCCACCTGCAGAAGGAGACTGGTGATTGTCTCCATGATCTGACTGTTCATTCCCCATCACCTTGAGCCCCTTGCTCCACATCAGCACTTCTGGATGGCAAAGCAAAGAATTTTTCTCCTACCATTAAGTTCCCCCACGCACCATTTTCTGTACAATAACAATTGCTTCCCTGGCACCTTAAAAGGCTCCTAAATAAATATCCAAGAAATAATATTATCTATAATAGCTCCTTTTCATATAATTTCCCCAGTTTGACAGATGGGAAAACAGAAAAACTAGAGCAGAAGCTGCATTTAAATTCTTGCTTACTTGCTCCCACATCAGCCTTTTTCCCCAACTGCTTGTGTTACAGGAAGCATAAGTTGCAGCTGGATTATACATGAACAGGTTCTTTGGTTTCATCATACTTAAAATAGATGTAATCACGCTTGAAATGCTGCTGAGTTGGATCTGGCCTTAAGTGTCATTATATTTTCTCATTTAGGAGTTATGGAATCTTTATAAAACTCTAATTATTTTAGAGCCATATGTTTTACTCCAGAATTATCTCTGTAAGGTTGCACTGCCTTATCCCATTTTTAATCACTGTTTTTCCCTTGCAGCAGACATGGAAGGCAGTTCCCTAAGAAGTCGAGATAAGAGGCTTAGCTTGAATTTGGTAAGTACTCTGTTTGCACAAATTTAAAACACTGGCACAAACTTCAGAGTGAATCATTTCACATCCTGATACTCAATCATTCCTCTCCTCTGTTCAGCAGAAGAATTTAAAAAATGGGAAAAGTGCCTCGCTTTGGGCACCTTCAGTGCTGGCTGCTTGGTGGCTTCAGTCAGCTTTTGAGAGGGAGGGGAGGCCTCAATACTGAGCACCCCATTTTTAAAGCAGGTGAAGCTGGGTCTGTTATGACAAGGGTTCCCAGTAGCCTCAAGAATTAAACTGTTGACCAAGAGCACCAGAGTAAATGGTTTATTCCTTGAAAAAGGGGTCTAAAGAAGCCTGTCACTCTGTGGTCCTGAGGGATATCTCTTCTTCAGGACATGGGAAAATGTCTGCTCTCACAGTGCCTGTGACTGAAGGCTCTATCACTCCACAGCTTCCTGCCTCAGCCTGTGACAGACACAGTTCTAAGCAGCACCATCTCACATCACATACCCAGTCTTCAGCCTGGGGCTGGATGTTGTCTTCTGTGGGAGATCCTTTGCTGGTGGTGGGCAACTTATATTTTTCTTCTTTTTGAAAGCTGGCAAGGGTTGCAATCGCTCCCTCTCACCACTCAGCCAGCGCTAACCTGCACAAAGTGATTTTCTAATGCTAATTCTCAGAGATCAGAAGTGAGTTGTAGGTCTGTGTCTGCTCTCTCAGCTTCCACATTTTGCCAAAGTCTTGTTCATCAGGTGTTCTCTGTTCAGACTTTTTTTTGTATTCAGGATCCTCCCTCATTTTATAGGTCAGAATTGCTGCTATGAGAGGCAAGTGCAGCCTCACTGAAGTTGGAGGATTTAACCAATAAAGTCACCAGTCAGTTTGGTTCTAGTTTCCAGCAGTGACTCGTGAAGCTCAGAGTGGACTGCTCCAGAGCTGGAGCGTTCATCCGAGCTCATGCCTTTGTCACTTGTCCATGCTGTGCCTCTCTGAGCCTGGCTCAGCTCAGGTGTGTTCCCAGCTCACAGCAGCTGCCGGCTGTGCACTGACGGAGCCCTTTGTGTCCCTGCTCTGCTGTGCCCTGCAGCCGTGCCGCTTCTCCCCGCTGTACTCTCCGGACAGCGCAGAGGACAGCTACGTGCCCATGCGCCCCAGCACCTCGCCCTCCGCGCCCGCCGCCGACTGCTCCCCCGACGGCTACATCCCCATGAGCCCCAGCTCCGCCACCTTCACCTTCCCCGTCGTCAGCACTGAAAAACTCACCAGCCCCTTGCCTGAGCTTCCCTCCGACGTGGAGCCCCCTCCGGTGAACCGGGACCTCAAGCCTCGTAGGAAGTGTAAGCCCAGACCTAAAGTGCAAAGCCTGGGGTCCTGATGGTGGGGACGCGGGTGACCTCCTTTGATGGTGTCCTTGGCACGTCTTAAAGCAATTGTCCCTCTAGAGGATGGGTTGAAATGCTGCGTGGGTGACTTACAGCACTGTAGCCTAGGATGTGCTTGCAGGGTGGTTTGTGAGTGGAGGAAGAGCTTCCACGGCTGCTTCTGCAGTCCCAGCCCAGGTGGCTGTGTGAGCACAGTGCCTGGCTTTCACCGTGACTGCAAACAGCCAAAGGGACCTAGCCTGGGAGAGGCAGCAGACTAAATCCTGCCGCTCTGAGGTACTTGTGCTCCTGTCTCACAGCTCCCCAACCTGCCAGGAATGGGACATCCAAACACTCAAGTACTCAAACTTGATGTGTTGGCTGTTGGTTAAACCTCTCTTGGGTAGGCACAGCTGTCTTAGTTTAATCAGGAATTTTCTCCAGATGCTTTTGCTGATGGTAATTTTCCACTCCTGGTTTTCATGGCATGTCCAAAATCTGGGTTGCACTTCCAGAGAATATACTGGGGACAAAATTCAGCTTTGAAGTGGAGGAATTGCCTAAACCTAGCCTATAATAAAGCTCTTAGGGCTGCAGAGCCACTGCGTTACCCAGAAATTGGTTCAGGCAGTGCTACTGTAAAGTGGGGACAGACATTTAGACCATTGCCATGCAGAAAAGCAAACTCATATCCTTTCTTAAAGGGTCTTGAGAATGGTAGGCACACGTACAGAGTGGTGACAGGGTGATCCCCATGTATAGGACCTCTTTGTTTAGAACAGAATCCAAAACCCGTTACAACCTGAAGGCTGACCCAGCCTCTCCAAGGCAGCATATGCAGAGCATATTTGAGGCAAGTGTATGTATCTTGGGTGGCCTTTGGTCTCTTTATGCCCACTGTATTTATTCTGTTATTTCAGGGTGATTGGAGGACTTTGCTTTCCAGCACTGACCAAAGAGGTCATTTGTTACTGATTTCCTTCTTGGTTATGTTCCGTGAAATACTCTCTTAGTTTCTTTGTGTTAATACAAAACTGCATTTTTCTAAACAGTCTGAACTGAAAATATAGTTCCTTTTGTTCTTTCTTACAGCACGACCACCTCCTCTGGACTTGAGGAACCTCTCCACAATCCGGGAGCATGCTGCCGTGACCAGGATGTGGACTGTGCCTTAGTAAGTCAACAAGAAACCTGCCATTCCAATCTTCTGAGCATTAGCATGGAATAGAGTTAAAAATAACTTAGCCCATTCCACAAGAAAGATTCCTGGCAAAGTCCTCAAACAGAAATTCCCCCAGGTTCCTATCAGTATTCCCCAGGCTTTTGCTGTCTCTGGAAAGCAGGGCTCCCTTTCACAATGGGCAGCTCCATAGAATTCAGTGTTGTGATTTGAAGGTTCCTTTTAACCTGGAGCTGGTCTGCACTCTGATGTGGCTGCTACAATGGCTAAAAGCTTGGCATGCCTAAACTATGACAGAGCCATTTTTGCTTCTTAAAATTAATATAGCAAAGTAGAACCAGATCAGATAAAGAGCTCCCTAAATTGTAGACTGGGTGTAGAATTCTTCAGTGCCACACAGCAGTCCAGACTTGAACTTTTGGCATGACCTTTTGTCACCAGAAATTGGTTATTGGTAAAACAAATGCTTTTGAACCCAAAGCCCAGGTATTATGAGCAGATGATACTGCTGGGCTCCAAGGGCAGCAGAAGACTCATCTTCAAGGGAGCTTGTGAGCAGGGGAGGACTTTAGCCTGCTGGCTGGGGGGGGTCTTGGCACAGAAAAAAAAAAAAAGGCAGCTGTGCTGAAGTGTGCATGCAAAAGTCAGAAATTCCATTCAACCTCCTCTGCACACCCTGGGCACTCCAGAAAATGTGGGGTTTTGCTGGCATGAGTGCCAGTCAGGGCATTTCCACTCCCCCATTTCAGACTGTCATGTGAAGGGCAAAAGAGACACAAGATGAGCAATTTCTCATTTGCAGAGCCCTCTCTCACATCCAGTTCAAGGCTGGTTAAGCCCCTTGGCACTGCCTGTTAGGGAAAGGCAATTCCCTGCCTCCCAAGCACCCCTGCCAGAGAACTGAAGTTAATCAGTGCTGACACAGTGCAGAGTCCTGAAGGATAATGAGCTTAGAGTGAGTTTGCATGTTTTACACTAACAAAAATAAAAAGAAGTTGTGCCTGAAACTAATACAGCAAAAGGAATTATGCTATTCATGCACAGAAGCCATCTAATTTCCTATTAACCAAGGCCATTGTGCTTGCCCGTGGTAATTTATTCACCATGCACCTCTGAGTGTTGTGTTCATGGGAGAGATTTCCTTGTGCAAGAGCTGAGTCACAGCCATCTCCACAGCACGGGTGGCAGGTGTTGACACTGTGTGCAAAGCCAGACCGAGTTCCTTTTGCAAAGCATCCAGCAGCTGATTAATTCACATCAGTCTCCAAAATGTGGATACCTGCACAGCCAAGTAACTGCCTCCATTATTACCCAAATGAATGATAGCTCTGTGCCCCTTGGTAGAGAATTGCTTCAATGTTTTACAGTTTCTGTTGTACCAGATAGCAAACTTTCATAAATCCCGGAGAAAAAAATCAACAAAATCAGTCAGCAATATAGCACACTATTTCTAGAACTAAGGAGTGGCTTTGGACATCCTCTCTGTAAAGGCTGCAGCCTTAGTGTGAGTTTATTCACCATATGGACTGTGTCAGGCTTTGGCTTCATTTCAGTGCATCTGTAAGATGCTTCCTTAACCTCTCCTGTGTTTTTCTTCATAGCAATCGAATGAGCTTTATCTCACCAGAAAGAGACAGTATTAATTCAGCAAGAATATTTGCCAATTCAGTTTCCGGAGAAGAGGAAGAAAGTTACATTCATATGGTAATGTCATTTTCACACAGCCATACTTTGCTTTATTCTGCTCTGTTACATTGATGGAGAATGCAGAAGTTTGTTTTCTAAGGAAAAAAACGTTGAGGAGGTTTGTCCTTTGCCTTCTGGTTTGTTTCTTTTTTTTTTCAAATGATGAAATGGTTTTAAACCAAAGACACTGGGACCAATTTACAGAGAGATAAGGGAAGCCCTTTTCCTGCTCTGCAGAACTCAGCTGTTCGCCCACGAATGTTGCTGAACAGTTCCAAGAGATCACAGGGATCAGCCATATTTACATGAGAACTCATTAAGACAAAAGAAAATTAAATCTTTTCACCTTTTAAAAGTGTGCCTTGCAAAATCTCCTAGGAAATAACAGAAAGCCGTTAGTGCACTTCCTAAAGAAACACACCAAATATTGTCCAGAAACAGAACTCCTATTAAAGTCTCATTGCTTCTGCTTTGGCTGGTGGCACTAACCCCACTTCCCATCCCATGAAAGAAGAACATCTGGCTTTGTGGCTTCCTTTTTTTCATTTGCTCTTTAACCATATCTTGCAAAAGACCAGAATCTTGTTTTACTTTGAATTTTAGGTGGAAAAGGATCTCAAATCCATTCATCTGAGCCAGTGTCTACAGATCTGCTCTATAGCCAAAGCCCAGTACCAATAGCTATAAAAATATATTGCAAAACTGACCACAGTCTCCGTGAACCATAGTTTCAAATTTTAACCCACATCTCTCCCAGACTGAAATCTGCTCAAGAGGGCAGTTCCAGTTGTAACCATTCCCTGTTTGGTTTTTCTAGTCTAGGAAAACCTGACATATATTTGTGGTTATTTGTGATTTTATGAGAATAATTTTCACAATTTCTTCAAATTCACTGAATGATGATGTTTTAAGTGGGCACCCTGCAAATCTGAGTGTTCTGAGGGCTTGGATTGAGAAGCTGGGCACAAGTCCTTGATAAAATTGAGTATAAATCAGTCTGTTTTGTTTGTTTTGCCAGAATTATCAGAAGAAAAAGGGTCTCATGGTTTCTTTATGCTATCCCACAATTATCAGTGTTATGCTGTGGTTAGTAACCAAATGCACCCTTGGCTTAGAAAATTATGTGTGCCCTGACTGTTCTCATTCACATTCTGGCAGGCAAATCTCCCAACTCCCAGTTGTGATCCTGTTTCCTTCTAGGATCATGTTTTTAGAGCATTAAAAGTTTTTCTTCTTTCCTGACAGGAACACAGACAGGCCACCTCTCCATACAGTGGTGCTTTTCCATGGACCAGGAAATCTAACCTTGATTACTTAGCACTGGATTTTAACTCTGCTTCCCCATCCCCTGTGCAGAAGGTACGAGTCATCTGAAAAACCCTGCAGCCTCCTGCCTTTTTGTCTGCTGGGAGGAAATCCACACCCAGGGTTGCATTCTGCTAGGTGCCCTGAGTGCCATGCTGAAGCCAGTCGTGTTTCCAGCTGACTGTATTTGTGTCAGGCCCAAGACTGATAAGATAAAAGCATGATGAGGGTGTTGACAATATGTCCTTAGTGTGGCTCATAGGGATGCTGCTAACATGAGCTTGGCACAGGGTATGAGACTGCTCTGGGAAGTGCAGCCATGAGGGCTTGTGGGCAAGCTTGCAGGATCTCTGCATGCTCCTTCATTTTCATCAAGTCTCCACAAAGCCTTTCCTGCTAGTTTCCCCAAATATCTCTTTGCAGTAACAAGTTTGCAGCCCATGATAAATTCATGGGGTAAAACTTTACCATCTCTTATAATCTGGCAAAATGTGCATCTTTATTCTTGCACCACCAAAACCATTTCAATTTCTTTTGCAATGCTGAGAAAATACATTCCTTGTTCCAAAGAAGTTCTAACCTGCTCAGGTGGTGGGTAGGTACCACTGCAAAGCAATGAACTGTTGTTAGTTTGGATCATTTTATGTCCTTGTATATAATTTTCCCCATCAGCCAATACTCCCAGATGCAAAAGACTCAAGACTCTTAAGCTTTCTTATTTAAACCCTCCCTGTATGTAAAATCAGTTAGGTTATCCCTGCAGCAGGATCACTCAGATGAGGAGAGAATGATTATCTGCATGGAAATAGCCAGTACAGCATGTTTCCCTTGCTTGCTGTGCTGGGCTGAGTGACAGGGTGACAGATGGATAATTATAGCTAAAGCAGGCTGTAAAGCAATGCTTTTGTCAGCTGATGTCACTGTGAGCTTCAAGGTGAAGTGAAGCAATCAAGGAACGAGGGAAAGGGAAAACAGAAAATCAAGCTGAGTTTTATTAGTACCCCTTTTCAACCTGAAAATTAAAACAATGTTTCTTTCCTCTCTGTCCCATAGAAACCTTTTCTGTCTGAGGAACAGAGAGTGGACTATGTCCAGGTTGATGAACAGAAGACTCAAGCTTTACAGAACACTAAGCAGGAATGGACAGATGAAAGACAATCAAAAGTATAAAGGAAGAAGATTTGGGATCTGGAGGGGTTTATTTTTGCACTGGAACCACAATGTTAATGAAGCAGCTATCACAGTAGAGCTCAAAGGCAGAGAGAGTTCTAAGATGCTTACAGTCTGTGGAGGCATTTTTACTGGAATCCTTTGATTTCAGCTGGAAGAAGTATGTTGAGTGAGTGAGTGGTTCACTGATGACTAAAGTAATGCATTAGCCTTTTTACTGCCCTTACCAGTATGCTCCATGGTACCATTTTCTGGCATGATTCTGCAACGAGTCATACACTTAACGTTAACAAATCCACTACAAGTTGTATTAATCTAGTTCATCCTGCCTTCTCCTTCTGTTGCATAATTCCTAGTTGCTAAAGCTATTTTTTGATATTCCTACAAATGCTGCAGGTGCTCGGAGTGCTTTTATGGCCACAGGCATCTGACAGGTTTTGGTGACTAATCAACTAAGGGCTAAAATACTGAAACAATAATAAGAACTTTTTGAATATATAGTGCTTAAGTAAAGAGAATTTTGAAAAATATTTTCCCCCTGGGTTTAAAAGGTCTGGCTGTGATGCTGTCAGAACTCAACTCAGAAGAAGGACTACATGCCCATGTGACTGGAATGCATGGTCTTTGACCCTCTGGATGATGGTCATTGTATTCAGCTTCTTCCCTCCATTGTGGCTCGTACATGTCACTTTTCTGTCTGATTCCTACTGATGTTTTCTCCCCTGTCTTGGGAAGTGTCTTCGGCACAGCACAGCTGCTCTTCTCGTAGGAGGCTGCAGCCACACAGCTCTTGGCTGGCCAAAAAATAGAAAGGGAAGCTGTGAGCCTGTTTCTGCAAGCCTTGAGAGAACTGGCAGAGGATCAAGACTGCTTTCATCTGAACAGCAGAAGGAATGCCATTGGAATGCTGGTAGCAGTCGTCAATCTGATTGTTTCACTAGACCCACCCCAAAATAAAAAAGAGCATTAGGAAGTGCAGCGTGCTCTGAGAGGCCAGGAGCCTGCCAAAACAGGACAACAATGTGCTCACACAGCATGAGGACCTCTGGGCTCAGGAAGTTTATCTACCTTGGGACTTGTTACAGGCACTATCTCAGGATGACATGTGTGTATAGTTTATAAGATATTTAACTTTAAACACTTGGCTGTGGTCTTTATTTTACAGTGGCACACAGCCACTTGACTCATGGAAGTGGGCAGTGATGCTGAGTGACCCACACTGGATTTGGTCTCACAGGCTTAGCTCCTGTAGGTGAGTCCCAGTAGCCGTAAGAGGTCTGATCCAGTCAACATGGACAGACAGACAGGACCCTTACAAAAGATTTCTTCTCTGACAGTGCCAATTCGCTGGCCTCCCTTCATGTGCCTCTTGTTACCACGTTGCATTGCTGTAACCAGACATCCTGAAAATTCTAATCTACCAAACAGAGGTCATAGAAATGCCATTGCAGAAACCACTGGCATGTCAAGGCTCCTGCTCAGCTTGTTCCTTACACCCTGTGTGCTCCAGTCATTCAGGCACTCTGGGAGGCCATCGCACATCCCGTGGGAGAGGCAGCATACCTGACAGAAACACAGTTTTCCTCCTACCTCAAGAGAGCTGAAGGGCTTGCAAGTCTCAGTGCTTCTTTAGCCCAGTCCCTGGGGATCTGTGGTGACCAGGATCTCACTAGGTTACCCTGCAAGAACAAGGTTCACCAGCGCCTTCACTGACTGGGGCAAACTGGGCACCCAGGCCTGCAGGTGTGAAGTGTCCTGGACTAGAGCTGCTTGGAAATCTGGGGTTAGTCCTGCAGATAGCTGACCTGCTGTTCCCTCCTGCCCTGCTCCTCCTCCCCTCACCAAAGCTCTCAAATGAAAGTTGATGTTCATAAAAATTTTGAAAATAATTCCAACTTTTCCACATACATCTTGTCTGTCTGGTGTGAAATTTAGTTTGTTAAAACCCAGCTGTTTTGTCCTCTAACTGACTTAGCAGAGCTAGGAGCACCCATGCCCTGAGAGTGATATTGTGACAGGGGTAGGGCAACGTGGGGAGAGGCAGTGGAGATCTGCACCTGCACAGGGATGTCATGGAAGAAGAAGCATGAAGAAGAGCCACAGATACTGAGCCTTTGCCTTTCTGCTCAAATGAATTGCCTTTCTTTCAAAGTGTGCAAATAACACGTGTCACTGTATGTGCTGATGTACTGAAAGGGTTAAAAGACCAGCTAAAAGGCATTTTAAATTACAGACAGACAACCTCCACAAAGGGTGAGTGAAGTTATGTTCTGCTACTGCAGATCCCAGATTGAGGAGCGATGGCAGAGCAGCCTCTGATGCGGATCAGAATCACACACAGATCAGCTCGTGTTTGACTGGAGTGTTTCCTTTCATGCTGTCAGAAAATCTTCTGAAGTGGAAAAACACCAAGTTATTGGAGACAACTGACTCACTTGTTATTCTAGTTTATTGTAAAAATATTTAAACTTCAACAAACCTGGCTAACAGATCATTCAGAAGTTTAGAGAAGAAAGAGCTGTATCTGGATTTTTACTCCCCTAAAAGGACATAAGCATATAGCTTGGCAGGGACTGTCCTTAGAGGAGAATGGCCCCTTTCAACTTCCCATGTCCCCTGCTTGCCCTCACAACATTCTTATCTTGATCAAATGCTGCTCACTGGTTTCTAACTTTTACTTTCAACTTGGAGCTAAGTTTGAAGGTTTATTCTGATTTTTCATGTAATGTCCTTTTTTACCAGCTGCTCCAGGGCCCATGACATACATTCTTGTGCAGGTACAAGCCATGAAACAGGAGCAATTAAAAAATACTGGGGAAAAAAATTAAAAGCAGAGCAGTTCTTCTCAAAGGCTTTTTTTTCTTTTGTTTTGGTCAAATTGCACAATACTTCAAAGAGGGTTAAGAGGAGCAGGATGGTGGGAGGATGGCAAAGCCAAATCTGCTGTGGCCACCTCACCACTAAGGATTTGGGTGTGATGGGAGCTGCAGCAGCCACGAGTGACAAACCTGTGGGCCAGTACCCATAGAGCAAACTGCTGGGAGTGGAGGAGTGTTACAGAGCAAAAAGGAGTTGCTGTTCAGTTCAGTCTGTTCTTGTCCTAATCCCTTGGCCAAGAAGGAAAACAAACATGAAAACTGAGTCAGCTTTTGACAGTGTCATGTCTGAAAATACAGCTCAGGCCAGAGCCCTCAGCTAGTACTGGCTCTGGGGCCAGCCAGGCGCACTCCTGATGGTGTCCTCTTTTTGCCATGGGTCTCTTACTTGCATATATTTTTTCCAAAAGTGTGAGAGCTGATGCAGAGAGATGCTCTGCACCTAAATGAGCACAGAGTGGCCAGTGGTCCTTAACAAACTCTGCTGAGGGAATTGGCATTGCCCAGCCCAGGTATTGTAGTGCCTTCTCCAGCACTGCTGGGGCCTCTCATTAAAAACAGGGAGAGCACTAAATGAGCAGAACTGTTTCAGTTTAATTGGAAATGTCACCTTGTGGAGTTGTTGGATGAAGCTTGGTTGCAGGATGACTTTGAAAACAACCAAGCTCAATGTTTTGAGTCCTGTGGTTGTTGTTGGGGCCATCAGCTGGGTCCCCCACTGATGTGCTTGATATGGCCTTACTCTCTCCTTCAATGACTGCACGTTTGACCAAGGCATAGCAGGCCCACATCTCATTTGCTGTTTGGACTAAACTACATTTCACATTTATAATTCCTTTATGCCAGGAGGCAGCATTAATTTCCTTACTGGCAGAAATGAACATTTAACCTGAGAAATGCCAGCCGCCATGTAACTGGAGCAAGGTGTTTTCAGCCAGCTCACTTTGCCAGTGGTAGCACCTGCTTTCTTGTCACTAACTACATCCTAGATGTAGATTTTGGAGTTGCATTCGCTTGCAGTAATTCAGAAGTTTAGTAATTCAAAGACCATCAGATGCTGTGATGAGAACAAAGTACAGGGCAATGCCTTCCCTTTGTCCCCCTGTTCCGCAAAACTTGCTCAGGTTTAAAAAAAGTGAAAGCCACCAAAATAGCAGATATTTGCCATGTCAAAGCCAGGATATTTTTTGTTTTCAAATAAAAATAAACTTTTTCTTGTGCAAATGAAGCATTATACTTTTTTTTTTTTGTATTTGTAAATCTGTGGGGAAGCATTAAAGAGTCATCTCTGTTACGAAGGGACAAATCATTGCTAGAGAGAAGGGGCTCACCTTCCTCATGTTTCATTGTAATGTTTGGTGTATATATTTGCACATTAAACTGTATCTTTTTTCTAATAAATTAATATAAAAGGTAGCTGTGATCTTTAATTATTTTGATAAGTGAAGGTGCTCATGGGATAAGCTCCCACATCTTTCATTTAATGCTTTTTCCATTTTAAAAGTCTCTTATTAGGCAGTGTCTTTTTCATAAAAAATATTTGGATGCAAGTTCAAGCAAATTTGGAAACAAATGTCATATGCCTGTGTATCAGGGAGATGGATGCAAGTTCAAGCAAATTTGGAAACAAATGTCATATGCCTGTGACATATTTGCAGAATAACAAAGAACTGTGAAGTTGTGGCTTGGACTCATGTCTGTGTCCTCCTGGGTCAGGGTGAGCTGCAGTCCCCCAGTCGCAGCCACAGCTCCTGCTGCCACAGCCAAGGGGCAGGAAGGGGACACAGCTCCTGACCCACCATGTAGAGCATAAGCACAAATTTATTCAGCACTTGCTCTGGACTTGGATACAAAAGCTAGTTGTTATTTAACCTGGAATTTTAATTGCTCTGTGCTGAGCAGTGGAGTTGCTGGTAATACAATTTCCACATGCAGCAAGCTAGGGATGTGGGATCCTTTCAATGTGCACATCTTGGGATTTGGAAGATGAAACAAGGCAGTCCATGGGGGCAGAGCTGAGCAAGCCTTGCTGCTAACAAGCCAGGAAGTTTGGAAATGGTTTATTTATTGCTTCAGGCGAGTGCCACTTTTGGATCTGCATGCTTTGCAATCTGGCTGGAGATGCACCGTGGTGGATGGAGGGAGGCGTAGTGCTTAGAGAGCCCCTGATGGAAACTTGGCTGCACAGCTCAAGACACAGACACGTGTGGCTTCGATAAGCCTTTGCCTGCAGGCTTGATAGAAGGGAACTCCGTGACATTTTGTGTTTGGTCTTCACGGGAGGGCAGGTCAGACAAATGAAAGGTCAGATAAAGTCTGACTGACGGTTCACAGCTCTTTGTGTGCTCTGCCCAGCAGAAATGGGAACAGCGCTTTGACAGAGAGCACTTCCCAGAAAAGAGACCTCCCTCAACTGCCCCTCCTCCAGAGCCTTGAAGGGAAACAACTGTGCCAAAAAACAGCTGCATCAGCCCTGCCACCATGGAGTGAGCCAGGAAGCTCTCAGACTGCTCACACCTCTGTGCAAAATACTTAAGGGATTGGATAATAATAACAACAATAATGTGAAAAAACTGACTGCAAAATGTCTGGATATGTGAGCACTTGGCTCTATAGAGGCTGGCCTCTCTAGGTACATCTGCAATTTCAAACCACATCAAATACGTCCCCGAAGCAAAAAGCCACAGAGCAGCCAGC